ACCTTTGTATCATATGCAGCACCTTCGGTGATTACTTCAGGTGCCATCCAATATCTAATCATAAAAAATTATAAAGTCAGCATACAATGTATTAACAACATTTTTAAATTATGATAATAATTTAATTGCAGATATATTTACGGAGTACCAACAAACGATGTACGTTTGGCATTTGAGGCAGTCAACTGTCCAGCGACGCCAAAATCGCAAAGTTGCACTTTTCCTTCGGCCGTTAGTAAAATGTTCGCCGCTATAGTATAAAGTTTATAACGACATTTTTAAAAATTCTAAAGTATGATTAACTATGATTAATAATTAACATTAAATTATTTTGAATTACCCTTTATATCCCGATGTATAATTTTACACTTATGCAAATAACTTATTGCTAGTAAAACCTCTCTCGTAATAATAGATATATATTTTTCTTCTATTGCTCCAGCTTTCAACTAACGAATAACAAACCGTAATTTAACAAATATCTCAGAAATTTTCACATCAAAGTCGATCAGAAATATACACACCAAAGTTCTGATGCTTCCGCCAGCTGCATATTCCATAATAATCCATAGCTTTGTACCATGAAGGAAACTTCCATAATATCTAGTAATATTTTGCGATTCACTATTAAGTAATGAAAGCAAATTGATTTCTTTTATGATATCCCCAACGTCGTCTTCTTCAGTATCTAAATTTAGCACCTTTATGGCCACAACTTGGTTTGTGTCGTTATTAATACTAAAGTAAATTAGTATTTTTTTTCGTTCTGGTTTTAATCTTTAAAGATTGTAACAATTAAAATATTTACCCCTTATAAACAGAACCGTAAGCACCTCTACCGACTAATTCTTGCTTAGAATAGGGCTCCCGAACCTTTTTCTTTGGTACATAGCGTTGCTCACTAACACGCATCGTTTTAAAATGATCACGATCAGAAATTGATTTCGTTTAATATTCACGTCCACGATGAAATATTATATCGACATATGTGGATTATTGGGATTGTTGTGTAACGAGATGTATGTGGAACAAATCGGAGAAATTCAATGAAGCGTGTACATGTCATCACGTGAAACCTCGGCTATCTCATAGTAGGACTTCACATGATTGGCTATTATTTTTAATTGAATTTTTACATTATTTATATAGTTTAAAGTAATTTTTCAAAAACAAAACAACGCACAATAAAAAATAAGAATTGTATAAGAGGCTTTATTAGAGCTGCAGGACTCTATTGTTTCTTTTAAAAAACAGCGACCTGGGCTGAAACGGCCTATATTAAATAATGACAATTAACTGCGCTTGATGCTTCAAATTGGTATTCAATAAAGATCTCAAATTCTACGTAAATACGTATACTGTGAATTAAGATCGATATTTTAAACTGTATAAAATGATGTACTAAATTCAGTTGCCAATCATATGAAAGTCTTGCCACGAGCTATCCACCTGCTGTCGGTAAACGTTACATAAAGTTCAATAATGTCCGACCAATCAAATAGCGAGTTGTAAAAGGATCTACGAATAATACTATCCCTGAATTACCTGACTCTAACTTCTGAACTTACAGTAATCATGGCCATATAGACGATCCAAATATGTTATATTCCACCTGTTAAAAAACTCGAATTATACCCGGGGATATATTACCTGGATTTCTTGTTACAGTATTTTCATAATTTCTGGGTCACCTGATAAAATTTGCCGAATGATTTTTCGGCCGATCCGGTTAAGTTATTGATTTCGGCATGATCAGTATATAAAAATATCTCTTTTCATGTTACATATAATATAATTTTATCATTATAATATCGACACATTCAACATTATTAAACTTTCGTTTGCCCGACATGTTTAGTGTGTTTAGTTTGCACGGAAACTTATGAAAGTGATTATTCTTGTCAACTAATAAATCTTAACAAGAAATATAAGCACATATATAAATTTATACGTAAAATAAAAATATATGTAGGTATATATAAAATATTTTCCTATGTATATACAGTATCTAAGTCAGTGTATAAATTTTTAAATTGTTATTCGACTAATTTTATATCCCAACCAAAGCTCCATTTTGGATTGTAGTCCATAAAATACCAGTTAGGTTTTTCTTTCGTTAAAGTTTTAAAATATTTTATATCGTTCGTGTTTAGCGAACATGGTTTTCTTGAAAATGATGGAAATTTCTCAATATTTTTGAAAGTGCTTGGAAATCCGATTTATAGAACACTTGTTAACATCTAAGTGTTTCCTCCTAAATTTTTTCGCTATTTGCTAGTGAAGATGGTTTGAAATATTTCTGTATTCAACCAGAGATATGCATATCAATATGTAGTCCTTATAATACTGTAATATATATCATATTATTCATATGATCTTACAGCTATTTTCATTATTCCTGGAACACCTGATAAAAATTGACCGAATGCTGTTATGGCCGATTCGATTATGTTTGTGATTTCGGCATAACAGATAATATATTCAATAATATAAATTGATATATCTACGTAATTTAAAATGGATTTTTGGTTGAATCCAAAATATGATACTTTCAACACAGCTTCGTTGGAAAATTGGAAAAAAATTTAGGCCTATCATATTGAATAATTGCCGAACACTTAAGGGCAGGGTGTTTGCAGATCAATTTTCATAGTAATCATGTGTAAATCATATGAAATCACATTATTGACCAATTAGAATTGTAAACACCTTAGAATTGACCAATTAGAACTAGCAATTCTTGTGTGACCTAACAAAATTTTAGGTTATCTAACTTTTTTTATCTATATATAAACATAAATATTTTTAAATAATACAAGATATAAAATTTTACTAATATAAACAAGAGACTTCAAAGTATTTACCAAATAATTTTGGTAAAATTAGTTATGTTTCTAAAAAGTTTTATTATAAATGAATTTTTGTTGTCTATATAAAATTTTGGTGTACATGTAGATCATATAGAAAAATGATCTACGGACACCCTATCCTTAAGGTTTACATATTAAGAGACAAATTTACTATAAACTTTAAACTTAATATTCTTTTCAACTTACAAATTAACTTATTTTTAAATTTTAAAATTAAGTATATCAAAAATAGTAGAATAAGCTAATTTAGAATAATATTTTAAAATTTTGTAAAAATTTTAGATTTTACTAATAAATTTTTTTTTTAAAAATAAATTTTGCTAAATTTTAAAACTGCAATTATATGTAAAATTTTACACTGAACAAACTTACTTAAAAAGTAAAAATAGATTGTATTAGTAAAAAAATAAGTTTACTATATACAAAAGATAAATTTTTTTGTTTTTTATATATATATAAATTTTTTTTTACTAAGACAACCTATTTTTATTTTCTAAGTAAACTTGTTTAAAACAAAATTTTATATATATATATTTGTTAAAATGTGATTTTTAAACATTTTACTAAATAAAAAATTAGATTAACATTGTATAAAAATTTTTTTTTAAAAAAAAAAAAAAAATTTATACAAAGTTATTTTAATTTTTTACTTAGTAAAATATTTGAAAAATTATATTTTAATAATTATATATTTGTAAAATTTTGTTTTGAATAAGTTTACTTAGAAGATAAAGATAGATTGTCTTAGTATAAAAAAAAGTTATATATAGAAAAACTAAAAAATTTATTATTTATATATAGTAAATTTATTTTTTTTACTAATACAATCTATTTTCACTTTTTAAGTAAGTTTGTTCAACATAAAATTTTACATATAATTGCAGTTTTAAAATTAGTAAATTTTATTTTTTAAAAAAAATTTATTAGTAAAATCTAAAATTTTTATTTTATTTTTTATTTTTTTTGTATTAAGATGACCTCTATAGCCAGGAGCTTTTTATTAGATAATTAACAACATTTACAATTATAATGAGGGTAAAACTAGCTATATGTACAACTTTTGATTGTCTATTTTAAGTAGTCTACCCAAGTTCTACACTAGCCGCCATACCTGCAATCTAACTAGAAAATTATCTATTTAAGCTTTTTGGCTTTTACAAGTGAAAGTACGACTAGCCATATCTGCAACTTTTGGTTGCCTATTTAAGTAGTCTGCCCAAGGTTCTATACTAGCTGCCATACCTGCAACCCAACTAGAGAAATACCTATTTAAACTCTCTGATTACAACTGGCCTGTTATTTTTTATCTAACCAAAATATAACTTACTATTTATATACTAGATTTTGCAACATCTATAGATTTCACACCCTACCTAGAACTACTTTATTCTCAAGGTAAACCTAACAGAGTAGTACATGTCCTACACATATATTCACCTGCATGTTCAGTAACTTCTTTCTAATCTAGTACTTGTTGTGTTGCTATCACCAAGTTTGTGTCTCAAGCTATCTTTTAGAATACTGCTGTAACCCAATCCATATCTCAAACTACAACCTTCCTATTTTAGTAGTTGTTACATACTCCTTGCCCTTGTATTTGGGTTTGCACAACCCCAGCATCCACATTTGAACTTTTCTTCTTTTTCAAATTTTTTATCAATCTCTCTCTTACTTCTAGCTAGCAATCTAAAAAGATTGGTTTACCTAACCTTAGGTGTCTATATGATCTTCCTTCCCTTGATACATGCTTCCAGAGCACATGTCCTTTTCTTCTAGTTTGGCGACCCAGTAGTTTGGCTGGTATGTCCCCCCACTTAAGAACCTGGTCGCTTAGTTCTCTAATTTCAGTCCCTGGTTTCAAATTCGGTCCTCCTGTATACTATCAAAGATCATGCTACTTCCCAACTCAGGACTTGCCAAACAGGTTTTCAGTTCTTCTAGTATCTTAGATTTATTATGCCAAGGCTCCTATTCTAGATAGTATGACCAAGATCACAGATTTCTAGATCCTACCAATCATTGAATAGCTGTTAACCATATCACAGGACTATTTTTTAAAAACATTATTTGTAAGATTCAAACTCTAGACCTGCCATCTGGGAGTGTGACAACTCCACTACTTCACTAAGTTGCCACACCTCTTCTAAAATTTTTATAAAATTTTAAAATACAATATTATTATTATTATTTTTTTTTTAAGTAACCTCTTTGGCTATAGGAATATACATGTTGGCAAAATTCTGACTTACTATAGTTTGGGATTTGTCTGTTATCCCAAATCCCAAATTCCAAATTCTAGCAAAGCTAATATCTTAAAAACTTTATTAATAATCTTTATTTAAACAAAT